GACAAAGGAGAATGGCTTCAAACTGAAATAGGGCAGATTTAGGTTAGTTATTAAGAATAAATCCTTCCCTGTGAGGGTGGGGAGGCCCTGGCACAGGTTGCCCAGAGAAGCTGTGGCTGCCCCATCCCTGGAAGTGTCCAAGGCCAGGTTGGACGGGGCTTGGAACAACCTGGTCTAGTGGAAGGTGTCCCTGCCTATGGCAGGGGGTTGGAACAAGATGAACTTTAAGGTCCCTTCCAACCCAAACCATTCGGTGATTCTGTGGTTCTATGATTTAGTATTTTTAGTAGAAATGAAGAAATTTCTAATCACCTTCCTAGAGTCAGATGTATTTTCCTATATGAGAATATCCCGTGTTTCCTGTAGAGAGACAATCCTTTGGAGCTCAGAAACTCAGCATTGCTGAGCCATTTTGAATGTCCAGAGCCAGCCGTCTCCTGCTGGTGACAAAAGCCTCCCCTGGCTAAGTCAGGTTAGACAGAAATCCACCTCTGGAAATGAGTAACATCCCCAAATTCCTGATAACCCCACTTTGGAAAGGGAATGCCTGTCCTGAAAGCCTCCCCTGTCTCTCAGGACTCCGTGCAGCAGCAGACCCTGCAGGCCATCGGGCAGTTGGCCACACGCCGGTACCAGCCCCGGTGCCGCCCGGCGTCGCGGTGGGACTCGGCCAGCAGCTGCAGCTCCGCCCCAGTCTGTGCCATCTGCCTGGAGGAGTTCAGCGAGGGCCAGGTAGGATGTGGGCAGGGCTGCTGGGCAACCACAGCTCCAAAATTCCCGGGTGGGAATTTTGAGTGTGGCAAGAGTGGGAGGCCCTGGTGATATTTCCTTCTGCAGCCCTCCTGAGGGCTGGGAAAGGGCCAGCATCCATGGAGTCTGCCTGCCCCTTGGCCAAAAGAGCCCTGTCTCTGCTGGAGTCACTCAGATCTCCTGAGGCACGTCTCCAGCTGTGGCTCTTGGGTAAAATGTCCATAAAACATCCGTGTTGAAACAACAGGACAAAAGTGGGATTTGCTGCTCCAGAGCACTCGGCCTGAAACCTCCCTGTTTCCAAGGGCTTTCACCTCTCTGGACATTTACACCCCAGAGCAGAACCTGAGCTACTGCACAGCCTCCCCTGTGCACAGCTGGGCTGCAGATCCCTCACTCTTAGACATCTTTCCATCCTGCAAGGCTCGCTTCCATCAAGAAGGACCCATCCAGGTCCTGGAACATGGTTCTCATTGCTCATACTCCTCCTCTTCTCTCTAGGAACTGCGGATCATCTCGTGCTCCCACGAGTTCCATCGGGAGTGTGTTGACCCTTGGCTGCAGCAACACCACACGTGTCCCCTTTGCATGTTCAATATTCTTGGTAGGGCTCAGACACAGCATTTTCTGGGCAGGCACGGGGTTGGGTGCAGGGGTTGTGACCAGGAGCTCCAGGTACCCTTGGGTGATGCATCAGCAGCTCCACGTGTCCCTGTGCATGGAATGTACGGGATGGTGTGTCCGTGGAGAGGGGTCCCTGTGTGTGAGCCCCCCAGGGTACAGCAGGACACTGAGCTTGGGACCTGCACCTAGAGGAGGGGTTTCCAGTCTTGGGAACTGTGGGCAAGGGCGGGGGGCAGCAGGGAAAGCACCGAGTGTGCAGGACCATTGGGGTTGTTTGGTGGTGGCAATGAGGAATCGCGGGACACGGCAGGATGTGACACTGTGGTGGGAGGGCAGTGGAGTTGGTGCCAGGGGTACAGCTGGGCTGTGGGACATGTGCTGGATGCTCCCTTTTCTCTCCACAGCCAGAGACTCAACGGACCAGGCCACGGTCGCCAGCTCCAGGCTGGCCCCTCAGGACATGGAGCCTGGACGGCGACTCCACCTTTTCCGCCAGCACCCAGGACATGCCCTTTACCACCTCCCACACCCGTATCCTCAGAGGAACCTCAGGAGCTTTCCCCCGGAGCCAGCCCACGGCAACCCCTTCTTCCACTCCCCAGAGCTCTCCCAGCTGGATTTTGACACCATCCACTACATGCCCTACAGACCGGCCCCCTCCCTGCTCGCCTGCGGCCACACGTCCCCACTGGCCCCGGGCCTGCTGGGCCAGCAACTCCCCGTGCCCTCGGCGTGTGGGCAGGCGCTGGCACCCCACAGGACGTGTTCCCTGCAGGCCCAGCCCCCCTGCCCCGGGCTCAAGGCAGCCCTGGCACAGAAGCAGCACCGCGCGCCCGCCCTGCGCCGGGGGGTGAGCCACGGGCACCAGCACAACAGCAGCGGCTCCGGGGAGAGTTACCTGACGGAGCACAGCGGGTACCTGGCGGACGGGCCGGGCAGCGACTCCAGCTCGGGGCCCTGCCATGGCTCCTCCAGCGACTCCATGTTGAACTGCACGGACATCAGTCTGCAGGGCATCCACGGCAGCTGCTCCACGTTCCGCAGCTCCCTGAGCAGCGACTACGATCCCTTCGTGTACTGCAGCTCCGAGGGCCCCGCCACGGACCACGGCCAGGAGCCGCTGCGGCCGCCCAGGGAGAGGCGGCCCAGGTCCTTGGACCTCATGGTGCCCGGGGGGGCTGCTCCAGCCAAGCCCCAGGTGCTCAGCCACGTCCACTACCACCACCACCAGCACCACCACTACCGACGGGACACGGAGTGTCCCCCCGGGCGTGCCGGGCAGGGGCCTGTGCCACGCAAACCCCGCTACTCTGGGGCCAAGGTTGGCTTCCACGGGGCTCGGACACAAAAGAGGACTGAGAAGAGCCATCACTGCCAGCAGCCTCCGGAAAGCAGCGCTGTGCTGCAGGAGGCAGCTCTGGCAGGACAGCCAGCCTGTCCCCAGGAAGGCCGGGAGCCCCCTCATGCCCTCTCCGCTTCTCCAAACAGGTTGGACTTCAGTGTAGATGCCAACAGACAGTTGGGAGCAGCTGGCACATCCCTTGCCCTGCTGCCCCCAAGACACAGCCTGCAGAGCCGGCATCACCGAAGGAAAAGAAAGTGTTCCCTGGAGCCCGACCCCGCTCTGCTGCCCAAGGACTCGGCCTTGCCCAAAGCCTGCGATACTCACCTTCCCCACGGCCATCCCAGTGGCTCCCGCTGCTCTCCCGAGGTCCAGCCCCTGATCCCAAGCGCTCCCCTGCCCGGTGGCTCCGGCTCCCGGCCGCTCTGGAAGTGTTTGGTGCCACAGTCCAGCTCCGAGCTGAGGAAGCAGGAGGACGGGGTGTCGGGACGGGAGGGAACCCGCCCGGTTCCTGCAGATTTCTCAGGGACAGGCACCCACCGACACAGTCTGAGTCTCCACCTGCACTGCCCGTCCCAGCAGGGTGGGCAGGGTAAGTCTGGTGTGCTCCTCTCCTTGCAGGGAGCAGGTGAATGAGGGGGGTTTGCCGAAGGAGCTCTGGATGCCAGGACACCTGGCACCTTCCCCATGGAAGCACTGACAGCAGGAGCGTTCCAGGGCTCACCTGTCTGGAGATGGTGGCCTGAACGATGAGCAAGTGTGTTAATGAGTGCGCCAGACCCTAAAATACTGCATATGAGAAATAAGGTGGCTAATTTTAACTAAACATCTCCAGCAGCTGGAGTATCTCCCAAAGGGAGGGATGGGACCACGTTTCTCAGTGTCCTCGCACCAGTCTGGGTGTCTTACTGGCAGAGTCATTATCTTCAAGGCTTTTTGGGCTCCAGTTGTTCTAGCCAAGCCCAGCTAACTGCAATCAGTGAGGAAGGAAGTGTGTGTGGCGGGTGGTAGTAGAACAGACTCAATGAGTTGATGGATTTGCACATCCCTGTTTCTCACCTGCCTCTGTTGCGTGGGAGTTGCTTTTTAGTGTCTTTTGGAAATCAGATGTAATTAAAGTTTGGCCCTTTGCCTAACTGCTGCACATCTCTCACTGAGAGAGGGAAAATGCCTTTGAGACGAGGCTCTTTGAAAGAACTCGAGTTTAGCTTCCAGGTCTTGCTCTCTCAGGTCCTCTGAACACAGCAACCTGCACGTCAGCCCGGGCAGGTGCCGGCTGGGAGCAGAGCCCGGCTCCCTTCCTCCCCCTACCACTGACTCACTGCAGCTCCTCGGGCAAATCCTTTTGATTTCGATACCAAACACAGATCTGGCTGCCTAATTTCTCTTAAAACACTGGCCCTAAACTCGTGACTCACCGTGCCCATTGTGCCGCAGAGATAATCACTTCCTCCCCGCGCTCGTCTGTCCAGCCCCGCTCCACGCCCAGGCTCCCGGGGCAGCTCCAGCCGCGGGGGCAGCGGGGCAGGGGGGGCTGGATGGGCACGGGCCTGGCTCCCCGCGGCGCTCCGGCCTCCCAGACTCCCAGGAACAGATTTTTTTCCCAGGCACAGAAGTGCCTGACACCACAGATGGGTGATCCGGGAGGCCCGCGGGGATGCTGCCGTTTGGAGAGATGAGGAGGCAGCAGTGCAGAGGTGCCTCTGGTTCACGGGTAGCTCTGAGTGCTGATGCCCTCCCGGGATCACAGCCGGGGCTTCCACGTGGAGAGAGCTCTGCTGGCTCAGGGAAAGCTGCTCAGGAGTTGCTTTGAGCTCCTACCTGAACCTGGGAGGCCTCCCCAAGCCCCCAGAGCAGGAGTCTGTGCACCTAAAGAGGGGTGCTGCCGTGCCCAGGGCATTGCAAGGTCCACGCCTGTGAAGTCTCTTTGGAGGTGGTCCCAGTGGCCTCAGTCTGTGCCCCCCTCCTTATGGCTCTCTGGCCCCCACCCAGAGCCAGTGCCAGCTGCTTTGCCAAGCACACCCAGCCTTCATTCTCTCTTGGAGCTGGAAGGACCAACGTGTTTGAAAGCACTGTGGCTCTGTTTGACTGCAGTAGCTTCTGGGGATGCTTTCAGGACCAGCCAGAGATCAGAATCTCCTTGTAAGGCTGACAAAATACATAGATTTAGGATTTAGCTTTATCAGGAACAGAGGGCAGAGCAGAAAGCTTGTGCAGGGCTTATGCAGAAAAGCCACCAGGCTGAAAACACGTTGGTTGACATAACACAACCTCTGAGTTATAATCACATTGGGGCTTTATCTTGGGAAAGGTGGAAATCAGTAGAGACCAAGTAAAGAGAGCAAAGAGCAATCTCAATAGACAGTCCCATGTAAGCAGGACACAAAACACAGACAAGGAGACCAAAGAGGAAACACATCAGTGTCTCCAGATAAATGGCATAAGGCTAAAAATATAAATGGATGAATTAGAAAGCCCAGCTTTAAATTAAAGTTTTGACATAAACTCTTCAGAAACCTAGTTTAGAGGAAAAACAGAGAGCAGGACCCTGTAATTCCCAGGTGAAATTACAGAGAGGAGAAGAGTGTGTCTCTTCTGGTGGCATGGGAGGGACACTCCGTCCTAAGGAGAGTGTGAAGTCCAATGACAAGTGACACAAAAATCCCCAATTGCCCCTAAGTAGAAGGAGGGTGGCATTTGGGTTATAACACACTATGTCAGTACAGGGTGCAAAGAGGAGCCTACAGAGACATGAGAGTTTTTTAATAATAATTCTGAAAGAAGCAGTCAAAAGACTAAGATGCTTTTGGGCACAGGGATCATTTAAAGCCCCAGAAAGGACTGGCCAAGCAGCAGGGCAGAGAGGGCACTGGGAAGCTGTTCTTCCAGAGTCAAGGTGTGGTAAGACAAGGAAATCAGGATGCCAAACTAAGTGCAGAGCCATGGAGAAGCACATGAGGGAAGATTTCTGTGAACAGCTTGTGAAAAACAGAGAGACTATTAATGCAAACATTTCCAGCTCCATCAGAAGGGAGAAGGCTGCCTGAGGCTCTGCAGATCCAGGGAATAACACAGGTCTGAGGGATGTTCAAGGGCTGTAAGTGCAGGGAGAGCAGAACAAACTGAATTTATTACAATAGTGATCAGCCTGGAAGCGCTCGGGGAGGTTCTCACCCTGCACAGGGCAGGGGCTACAGGATCCCTCGTGAATCAGATCATCAGTTTGAGTGACTCTGAATTACAGTGGAGAGTAACAAATTGCCAGGGGTACAGCTCACCCCCTGGGCATCCTGCAGGGCTCAAGCACAGAGCTGATAAATCCTGAACGTGGCCTGCAATCTCTTATCCATGCCCAGAGCCAGAAGGAAGAGCTGGGGGCAATATCAGCTGGAAATAGCTGAAGCCACAGAATGATGAGCCTGACTTTCCAGCCAAGCAAATTGTTCAGAATTCAAATGGAGGGGCTGACTTGTAGGCACATGGCTGAATGTGAAAACCAGGGGAGGAGGCACCCCAGCTTCTGTAGGGAGAGATAACGCCTGGCACATCTTTTAGGGGAAGGAAGCTCTCAAAGGATAAAAGGGAAGGTGCTCTCATAGGTAAATAACTGGCTAGAAAATAGGAGACAAAGTGTGGACCAGACTTAATGGAGGGAAATTAGAGAAGGAGCAAAGTGGAGTTCTCCAACTGTCTGCACCTTCCAGCAAGCTCATAAATATCCTGGACAAGGAGAGGAGATAGCAAAGTGTGTAACAGATAAAATCCACCAGGATGTCAGCATTGAAGCTGGATATAGAGTGTTACAGAGGGATCTCCTGCTGCTGAGCTGTGGGGGGCAGAGTGGTGGGGGAAATCCCATGGAAGTAGCACAAAACACCACACAAGCAGAGCCACTTCCGAGTAAAAATCAAATTATTATTAGGAGCTGGCTGGGCACTAATGTGAGACAAGCAGAAAGTGCCTTTATGCAGCTGCATAAGCCTGTGGTGAGCTCAGAGCTCCTGCACACCTCTTCTCAAAAAGGGCAATAGCAGGGTTGGGAGAAGGGCAGAGAGGGATGGCAGTGATGGGGTTTTCTGAGAAAACAAAGAATAGTGAGACTTTCATGTGGGAAAAAGGTGATTAGCAGAGGATATGAAAGAGAGGATATGAAATCAGGAAAGCAGGGGAGAAGGCAGATAAGAGGGACTCACTGGTGCTTAGAACAAAGTAATTGGTAGCATCAAACGGGAAACAGAAGCTTTAAAACACCCAAAAGGCAGCACATGGTGTGTAGTGAAACTGGTGCTGGTTGCCCAGAGGATGTAAGTGCCAGGAGTAAAATGGATTTGAGAGCCCAGATCAAGAGCTGGCAAATGCAGAGATGCAAATACACCCCCCGGCTCAGGAAGTCCCTAAACCAGGGTTTCCAGAAGCTGCTGGTGCTGCTGTGGGATGCAGCAGCCTCCAGGTGTGTGCTTACCTCGCCCAGCTGCCAGGTGAGGCTGAATCCTGATCCACAGCCCCTGGAGAAACTCCACTTGTGCAGGCAGTGCCGTGCGCCGGCGTGGCAGGGAATGACGCGGCAGATGATCCCAGAGAGGCTCGGATGATCTTGGAGTTTGTGCTGCTTCCTCGAGCACCTCCACCAGCCTGTCTCGGTGGGGTTTGCATAAAGATGCATCCCCGACTCCTCTCTTGCCTGGGAAACGACACCTGGGAGTTGTGCCAGTGGAGGATCAATCCTTGAACAATGCTGGATGGATCCTTTTAAGGGAAGTCAGACAACTGGCAGGGAATTACAGCTAGATGGCTTCCTAAACCGCCCCAGCACGCCCGGATGGCATCCCAGAACAGCCAGATTACTCCCACCACAGGCTGATGAAATCTCTTGATTTCTCTCCCTGGGAAACCTCACCTCCTGCAGCACTCTGGGCGTTCTCCCCCTCCCTCTCCTGCTCATCCTCTCAGCCATTCCCTTTCATGTCACGTCTTTGATCTTTACCGGGGAGAGGGAAAGGGATTAGAGGTAGAAGAAGACCACCCTTAAAACCCCTGTGGTGTCACCAAGATGTGCTCCTCCAGGTCACTGCCTTGGATGGGTCTCCATGGCCAGTCCAGCAGCCAAGGTTGTTCCACCTCTCCTTTCTTTTTTAGCCTTCCTTTCTGTCTGTGTAACAGGGGACACTTACACAGGCACAGCTTTCAGAAAATACTAGAGTAATGCTATTGGAGGCTGAGGGCATCTGATCACAGAGGGATTGAAGCTGGGAAGCTGCTGGAAGTGGCTTATTCCATGTACTGGTGACTCAAATCACAAATGTCTGATACCCTCAAACTCTGTCTTCAAGTACTTTGGCCATGCCTGCACACTTATGTTCATGTAAAACACCATGTACATTAATTTTCCCATGTCAATTAGCTACATTTTCCCAAGCAGAATCTTACTTGTTTGTTTTCTTCCCCTATATTTATTTTTCAAGGCTCTGTATAACCATCCAGGGTTTGCTGTGACTGTTGTGAAAAGTTGTTTTGAGTTGCTCTCTAGGAACCTCTAGATGGGCATTTGTTTCCTTTGGATCTCGGGAACACTCAGGAAAAGGGAAGTGGGAAAAATAGTGCCTGTGTGCCTTTACTGGGCTATTCTGACCCTGTGTGAGAGCTCTGGGCAGGCTCAGACATTTGGTGTGGGTGACAAAAGGCAGTTGGAGAGAACACACTTGGAGAGAAAGGGGCTGGCTGGAGCAGTGACTCAGGGTGCACTTTTTAGGCAGCCCTTGAGTTGAATGGTTCAAAATAAACTGCTGAGCATTTCCCTGTCAATAATTCACCAAGCAGAGGGGGCTGGTGAAGAGCCTGAGCTTGGTTGGGACTCAGAAGGAATTTGTGCAACCTCTTGAACACTGTGAAACTTGTGCCATCCCTGTCTTGCATCACTCACTCTGCTTTTGTTGTCTGGAGTTTCTGGTGCACCCTGGAAGGTGTTGCCTGTCTCTGTGTGATATGAATGAGTGTTATTTTATGTTCCTAATAATTTTTCAAGAACAAACATCAGAAAGCCTCAAAGGCAAGCCCCCAGTTAGTGATGGGAGTCCTGGGGAGCACTGTGCCCTTAGCCTGCCTCTTCTGAAAGAGTAGCTTGATGTCTCAACTTTACATTTTATTGTACTTTACCTTAGAGGAATAAACTGGTTGGGAGATGGCCAGAAAATTCCCTCTGAAAAATTGGGAGAAACTTCATAGAATCGTGGGCTGTCCTGAGGTGGAAGGGACCCACAAGGATCATCGAGTCCAACTCCTGGCCTTGTTCAGAACACCCCAACAATCCCACCCTGTGCCTGAGAGCATTGTCCAAACACGCTGTCAGGCTTGGGGCCATAACCACTGCCATGGGGAGCCTGTTCCAGTGGCTTAGTGGCTTTTTTAGTGGCTTTCCCTGCAGCATCTGTTCTCCGTATTTGCAGGGTCAAGGCCCCAGCAGCTGCAGAGCCCGGGAATGTTCAGCCAGGTGTAGCTGACACTTTTCTTTCTCCTTTTCTTTGAGTGCAGGATCTGAAGAGGAGGTCCAGGATGTCCATGAACACTCAGTCTAATGAAACACTGGCCTGTTTGCTCCCTGGGAGCTGGAGTGGGCACAGATGTTCGGCAGGAGGAGTTCACACCTCGCTCTCTGCACAGGACCGTGCGATGCCCAGCCCGGCCCCACCAGATACAGACTGCAAACAGCAGTGGGGCACTTGTGGTCTCCTCACACGTCCCCACATTGCATCAGTCCCACAAACAGAGCTGTGCTCTCCAGGCCCCCTTCTCTGAAGGCACAGGCAGCCCGTGGTCACCCTGTGGCACCTCTGCGTGGGCTGGGCAGAGGCACCAGCGGGAGAGCTCAGCGAGGGAGTGCAAGCTGCTATTTTGGCATGTTCATGCCACAGAAGGTTTTGCTAAACACTTCAAAAATAAACAAGCCTTCGAGACCAAAAGCTGCAGAAATGACTTTCTGTGGCCTGGTAGCTCCTGACTTCATTTCCTCACTTAGGTCAAAAGCCAGACTTCTCCAATTAAGTTTTCCATGCCTATTTCAGACACAGGAACAAGCTATTCTCCATCTCACCGCTCACAGGTCTGCCCTGCAAGGTGCTGCTTCTGACTCCAGTGGAAACCAACAGCTCTCACCACTTCTGATCCCTCCAGTGCCCCTCAGCTGACGCCGTCTTGGCCATTCCCTGCATTTGGCAGCAGCAGGAGAGGTGAAGACACAGGGACAACGTCAGCATTTCTGGGAAGGAGCTGGGTCAGACTCTTTCCATTGCAAAGAATCCACCCTCTCATCTGGCAATGTGAACAAGTCTCTCACTCACCCTCTAACTCCTCCACCCACCCTCAAACTAGGTGTCATGGCCAGCCCTGTTAAGAGCAACTCATTTTTTGAGCGTATTTCAAACCTGAGGTGTCCCCGTCACAGGAGTCATGGAAAATCCTTGAGTTCACGTGGTTCCTGCTGCTTCCTCTCTCACTGCCTCAAGACACAGCAAAAATTCCCAGCAGAAGCCTCCATAATAAATGCAGAGCAGGGCCCCGTCCATCGCCCAGCCTTACCT